GTCTCGCGCCGGATAAACTCCGTGTCGCGAAGGCAGAATTTGACCGGCTAGTTAAAGCCGGAACCATTCAGTCATCCGACAGCAGCTGGGCGTCGCCCCTTCACATGGTCCCTAAAATGAACTCTGCAGATTGGCGTCCGTGCGGTGAATATCGCGCTCTTAACAGGGTTACCGTCCCTGACCGCTACCCAATCCACATTCATGACTTCACTGCCTGCCTACACGGCAAAACTATTTTCTCTAAACCTCCCTTACGTTTCTGGGACACACTATAGACCAGAATGGTATCCGTCCTCTAGAGTCCAAGGTCGAGGACATACGTCGTTTCGCCGTCCCTAATACGGCTCAAGACCTGCGACGTTTTTTGGGATTAGTTAATTTTTACCGTCGTTTTATCCCGCGATGTGCGCATATCTGTCAGCCCATGACAGATCTACTCCGTGGAAACCCTAAGTCCGTAACCTTCAACGAAACCACCCTCCAAGCCTTCAATGCTATTAAGGAGGCACTTTCACAGGTTACACTTCTAGCTTACCACTCTCCAGACGCACCTCTCAGCCTGGCCGTTGATGCTTCTAACGTGGGCGCAGGTGGTGTCCCTCAACAACTCGTTGATAATGAGTGGCAACATTTAGGCTTCTTTTGTCGTCGGTTCTCGGAAGCCGCACAGCACTATAGCACTTTCGGCAGTGAGCTGCTAGCTATATATCTTGCTGTGCGTCACTTCCGACACGCCCTTGAAGGACGTGAATTTACTATTTTCACCGATCACAAACCTCTGACCTTTGTTCTGAAATCTAATAGTGATAAGTATTCACCGCGCGAAGTCTGCCAGTTAGACTATGTCTCTCAGTTCACAACTGATATAAGACATATTTCTNNTGCAAATGTCGTGGCCGACGCCTTGTCACGGCTCAACCTAGTTTCGGAGTTACCAGTAATTGACCTAGAACGCATGGCGGCTCTTCAACCAGCTGCGCCGCCTCTGGATCTTTCATCAACTCTAGAGCTTCGTAGGCTTCCTTTACCCACTTCGGATGGCTCCATTCTTTGTGATGTCTCGCAACAGGTACCCAGACCCCTGGTCCCTGAACCTATGCGAAGACTGGTGTTTGACGCCTTACACAGGTTATCCCACCCTGGAGTTCATGCCACTCTA